TGCACAAAAATTGTTTTGCAAAAGCTTTACCATGACAGTTTAATAAAGTTCGCTCACAATCCATGGCATATTTCTGCAATTGCATAAATTTGTCAGCTCTTATGCACCGAATCGCGAATAGCCCTAATCTTTTAGAGTTGCAGATCTACAACATTCACATAAACAAAATTTTAGCCAATTCTACATTCATAAAGCAAATTTCATTTATCTAATATTGAATTATAGATGTCTAAGTAATGAATGTAAATTTTTTTTACGCTTTCTCTAGAAAATAAACAAATTTAGCTTAGAACAAAACGACAATCAGCAAATATTAATAAATCAAAAAAGTGCTGCCGTATTGCAAAATACATCTTGCAGTTTGTGATTTATTTACAACATCATACATTGATACAATATTCTTATTGCTACATATATTTATTTTAGGGGTATTATTCAGTTTTGCAACAATATGCATTTAAAGGTTAAAAGAATTTTTGAATTAATCATATTTTTCAAGTTCTAAAGTCCTTTTAAAAAGAATTCTGGCGTCAGAGAAAATCTAAAAGTATTACTATATTTAATCCATCGCTTCGCGAGTATATTGATGTATTTGGGTATAAATCGAGATACATATAGATAAATGTATACNAAATTTTTTTACGCTTTCTCTAGAAAATAAACAAATTTAGCTTAGAACAAAACGACAATCAGCAAATATTAATAAATCAAAAAAGTGCTGCCGTATTGCAAAATACATCTTGCAGTTTGTGATTTATTTACAACATCATACATTGATACAATATTCTTATTGCTACATATATTCATTTTAGGGGTATTATTCAGTTTTGCAACAATATGCATTTAAAGGTTAAAAGAATTTTTGAATTAATCATATTTTTCAAGTTTTAAAGTCCTTTTAAAAAGAATTCTGGCGTCAGAGAAAATCTAAAAGTATTACTATATTTAATCCATCGCTTCGCGAGTATATTGATGTATTTGGGTATAAATCGAGATACATATAGATAAATGTATACATAAATGATCAGAATGAAAAGAGAAATCGCTAAGTGGTGACTGTCTGTCCGTCCGTCCGTCTGTGCACATGAGAACTCGAGTAAAAATTTAGATATCTTAACGAAACTTGGTACGTGTACTTATTTCCGGCGTAGCACGGATGGTATTGAAAATGGGCAAAATCGGACAATAACCACACCTACCTCCCATATAACGGTAGTTTTCAGAAATACGAAAACTACGATATTTTAGTAACTACTAAAGATTATTCACTCAAAATTGATATTTACAATAATTTTTAGACGAAAAATAATAATATAAGAAATTTTTGGAAAATGGGCGTAGCCACGCCCACTTATGGTTTCATGTGTATATCTTAGTAACCGCTCCACCAATTTCTCCCAAACTTGGGAAGGTTGTTGCTGCAGCATACCAAGAGGCTGAACATTTTTAAAATCGGACAATAACTACCGTCCGTCCTGTATTATACGGGACAGTCCTCTTTTTTGACCCATTGTCCTGGTAAACTATTTATTTTATACGGGACGCCAAATGTTCTGTATTTCTTTTAATATCCTGTATTTGTCCCGTATTCGGTGTTTCGACGCCTTAACTGCTCATTAAAATGACATGCCTATGAACGCGTTTTAAGTGATGTTGGTATATGATCGTAATTTTCTCCATGAACAGTTTTTTTTTCTAACCTGAATGCCTGTGATTCCAACCGAGGAATACATACAGTGACTTAAATAGAAATTAGGACTCGACATTTAGTAATTTTTGGCTATTTTTTGTTTATTTAATATTTATTTTATGAGAAAGTTTATGGAAAGTTCTGCTCATTTGCTTCTCTTTCGGACATACTTACTTTGTAAGAAAAAAAATCCGCCAACAAAAAATATTAAAAAATTAATAGTAAGCCTTAGCGAATTAAAATTGCACTTTATTATACTAAAATTTAACGAATTTTTTAACAAATTTTACGGGGTAAAAGAGTACTATTGCAGGGCTAATACATCTAGAATCATTGAAGAAGGCCTTAAGATCTGTAAGCTGTTGTGGGAAAAATTTGCAGAATTATTTTTTGTCCCGTCCCGTCAGCACTCATAAATATGGTCACCGTACATATAACGGTAATTTAGAGAAATACGAAATCTTCGATAAATCAGTAAATACTAAAGCTAGCTTATGCAAAATTGATGCTTGCAACAATTCTTTACCAAGAAATACGTTAATGATACAATTTTGGAAACTGGGCGTGGCACCGCCCACTTATATCACATATATGTATGTATCTCGGTAACCATTCTACTAATTTGTACCAAACTCGGTATGGTTATTGTGCTTGCCACATAAAAGAAAAACGTTGAAAATTATTGAAATCCGACTAAAATTACGGCCTCTTTTCATATAACGGTAAATTTCAGAAATGCTTGAAAATTCTATATTTCCAGGGACGCTAATTTACTCAAAATTTATACTAACAACAATCGCTTGAGAAGAGGTAACATTATTTGGGATTTTGGAAAATTTGCGTGATACCGCCCACATATGACTATATAAGTTTATCTCATTATGTCTAGCTGAACGTTCTATCGAAGATGTTTAAAATACGGGTAAAACCACCCAGGCTTACCATGTAGCGATATATGTATTTAATACTTGCACCGGGTATTTAATGTTCGTTTCCGCCCGAACTTAGACTTTCTTACTTGGTACTTCTATTTTTTATTATAATAGCTTTGTACTTTATTTTTAATCAATCACTATGAGTTATAACGAATTTATTAACTTCGCAATCCTATTGCAAAATGTATTAAGACAAATATGCTTTAAAAGTGTACGAAAAATTATTTGTAATAAGTTATTTGTCTTATTTAATATTATCTACCCAGAAGGTATTATATTCTTTTGGGGTTTTTGAAACCATTCTATAACAAGATGTCATTGTTAAAGGGTCATTCCTAGGGTTGCCAACCATACTATAATATATAGTATTGTAATATTCTTCCGCTCGGCGTACTATATACTGTTGGAAAAAATATAGTACGCTAAAATACTATATTTTCAGTAATTTACAAAAAAAAACGGTGTATTAAAACGGATGACCCGTAATACTGAAATAACAATATTAAATGAAATATTCTTTAAAGTAAGAGGTCATAGTGAAATTATAATCAAAAAAGACAACATATTTTTAAAAACACTAACAGCCGCACCAGAAACGTTCATTAGTTCACTAGTCACATTCATTCAAATGATAGTTACATAAAACTAAGAAAACGTTTGGTATTTTTGTTAAAGCAATTTTCGATTTCATTAATTTTATTTCATTAAAAAAATGGCGATTTTGGGCGATTTTTTTTAAGAAATTCCGCTTTTTATTTAAATAATCTGTAAACCCTGCTAGTGTAGTGCTTACTTCAGCTGAAGAGATGGCTACTACATGTTTTTACCAAAATTTACTGAGCAAAAAAAATTGTTTGCAGCATAAATTGGCACTAAATGAGCACTAGTGCTTACTTCAGCTGAAGAGATGGTTACTACATGTTTTTTACCGAAATAATTGGCCCTAAATTATGCCGTAAGGTAAAGTGTATGCCCTTTTTGGTTCCATAGATATTGATAGTGTAGTGCTTACTTCAGCTGAAGAGATGGCTACTACATGTTTTTAACAAAATTTACAGAACACAAATTTTTTTACCAGCATAAATTGGCACTGAACAGGCACTAAATTATGGCATATGTGCCAAACCAATCGGTGAATGTTGAAGTGATTACTTCAGGGACTTGTCGATTTTGCCTACGAGCAATTGAACGAATTTTCAAATATATCAAAAATAATTTTAACATTTGCCGCACCAAACCAAACCAATTATTCATGTTAAAACTTTAATTGATTGACCCATATCTATTAAAAAAATTGGCGACAAAAAGTTATGTTTCCATCAAGGACTTTATAAGCAACTTTCATCTGATATTTTATTATTTTTTTACGTTTTTATTATTTCTTACGTTTGCATGAGCAGCTTTTTTAATATTTTTTGTTTCACAAATCTTTCATTATTTATATTTCAACTCTTTTAATCCTTTTTAAATATAACGCCTTTCGTTCGATGCCCATTTTACCATGCCATATTTACTTTAATTTTAAATTTAGTGTCTTAGATTGGTGACAACACTATAGAAAAATGCATAATCAAAGATTTCTTAAGTACCTTTCGTTTCATTCCAAACTTGTAATATTGCATATATCTTGTCAGTTTAGTAGCGTTTTCTTATGTTGCTCAAGTGCCCTGCAATCGCACTTTTTCGGAACAAAATTTGCGTTTAAAGGGCAGATGGATATACATTTTAAATTTAATTGAATAAAATTTTTCAAACAGGTGACAAACTTCTTCAGTTGGCAACCCTATTCAAAAATGTTTTGGGAATACCACTTTCTTGCGCTACTTCAGTTTGATACCTACTTTGTAATAATATGTTATTTATGTCATCAATAGAATAGAATTGAAGTCGGTAAAAAAAAAGAAATTGGTTTAGGATTAACAACTAAAATTAAAAATAAGGAGGCTCGAAATGCAGCTATGTTTCCATGGAATTTGTTGTTCATAATTGCCAGTAGAATACGCCAGTCCCCGAAACAAAGTAGACAACAAATTTGACCCGCCCTAATGTACATACATATGTATGTACATCCATATGGACATATCCCAAAAAACTTCCATTTTTGTCGCGTCCGTACCATTTTTTATTTGCTTGGAGCTTTGTACTTAACTGTTTATACTTCCAAAATTTTTTGTTGAATATAGCACTTTCCCATTGCCTGGTAACAGTTGCAATATACATACGATCTTTCAGTTTCCTTCCTGTTTTAAGCTTAGTTACGCGTGCGAATGTCGCGTCCGTAACCCAGGATATGCCCATATGTATGAGTATTTATTTTATCTTGCTATTGACTTGAATACATGTGTATGTGCATTTTATTTCGCAACGTAATACAGGGATGAAATGGACTTTCTTTTGGCATGCTGTGAACGTAATCACGAAGGCAAGATTGACTATGGTGATTTTGTTGATCGCTTCCACGAACCATCAAAAGAGATCGGTTTCAATCTGGCTGTTTTATTGACTAACTTAAGTGAACATATGCCTAATGAGCCCCGTTTAGCGCGTTTCTTAGAGACTGCTGGATCCGTGCTTAATTATTTTGAACCTTTCCTAGGACGAATCGAGATTTTAGGCAGTTCCAAACGAATCGAGCGAGTATATTTCGAAATTAAAGACTCAAATATTGAACAGTGGGAGAAGCCTCAAATTAAAGAGTCAAAACGGGCATTTTTCTATTCCATAGTCACTGAAGGTGGTGACAAAGAGAAACTAGAGGCCTTTGTAAACTTTTGTGAGGATGCCATCTTTGAAATGACCCATGCTTCAGGTTTAATGGCTACAGATGATGGTGGTGGTAATGTAAAGCGTGATACCGCCTATAGTTCATACATGAGTGAAGAGGAAGAAGAGCGGGCCGCACGTGATCCCATTCGGCGAACCATACAAGCTATTAAAGATGGCCTTAAATTTGTAATATATATGCTGAGTCCATCCAACATAAAACATCAAATAGGAGCAATGCAAACCAAGTCGGTGCCGGAGTTAATCATTGGATTTTTCAAATTAATATTTTACATGTTCTACTATACTGGCTATGGAAATTTCTGTGTGGTTCGATACATTTTCGGAATACTTATGAATCTAATGCGTGGCCCAGCTCCAGAAGAAATTGAAGCTCCAACAGTGGATGAAGAGCCATTTGGTAAGGCCTTGCTCCCACTACCTATTGAAGAGCCACCTGGGCCAGAGTTGAACAAGGATGAAAGCGGACAATATAAAGTAACAGTACGTGAATCCCCAAGTGGAAATGGTTTGGAAGTAACGGGTGAATTAAGTACAGAAGAGGGAGGAGTGGCTGCCGACCAATCAGTAGAATTCGATCAGTATCAAATTCAAGAGCCAATTTCCATCGTAGACTTACTAGGCGGAGAGGCAGCCAAAAAAGCGGCACAAGAACGACAAGAAGCTCAGAAAGCCCAGGAAGCAGCTATGGCTTCTATTGAAGCTGAGGCAAAGAAGACTTCAGCTACTGCTCAAGAAACGCCTGCTGTTCATCAAATAGACTTTGCTCAATATGCTCACAGAGCTGTTAGCTTTCTGGCACGCAATTTTTATAATCTCAAATATGTAGCATTGGTACTAGCTTTTAGCATCAATTTTATGTTACTATTTTACAAAGTGACATCTTTCGGTGATGATGAAGAAACTTCAGGTGACGATGAACTCATTCTTGGCTCAGGATCTGGTGGTGGCTTAGCTGCATCCGGGTTTGGTGGTGGTTCGGGAGATGGTTCTGGAGATGACGAAGGCGGAGAAGAAGATTTACCGGAACTAGTGCATGTTGACGAAGATTTCTTCTACATGGCTCATGTTATACGGATTGCTGCAATGTTACATAGTTTGGTTTCTCTCGCTATGCTGATTGCGTACTACCATTTAAAGGTGCCTTTAGCTATATTTAAGCGAGAAAAGGAAATTGCACGTCGATTAGAATTCGATGGGCTTTTTATTGCTGACCAACCAGAAGATGATGACTTTAAGTCACACTGGGACAAATTAGTGATATCGGCGAAATCGTTTCCTGTAAACTATTGGGACAAGTTTGTAAAAAAGAAGGTGAGACAGAAGTATAGCGAAACTTATGACTTCGATTCAATATCTAATCTACTCGGTATGGAAAAAAACGCATTCATGGCACAAGATAGCGAAGAAGGTGGCTTGGTGAAGTACATAATGAACATAGATTGGCGCTATCAAGTATGGAAGGCGGGTGTTACATTTACCGACAATGCCTTCCTTTACTCACTGTGGTATTTTTCTTTTTCTGTGATGGGAAACTTTAATAATTTCTTTTTCGCTGCTCATTTGCTGGACGTCGCTGTAGGTTTCAAAACTCTTCGAACCATTTTACAATCCGTCACACATAACGGAAAACAACTAGTGCTCACTGTGATGCTCTTAACGATAATTGTATACATATACACTGTAATTGCTTTTAACTTTTTCCGGAAGTTTTACATTCAGGAAGAAGATGAGGAGGTGGACAAAAAGTGTCACGACATGCTGACTTGTTTTGTATTTCATTTATACAAAGGCGTACGGGCCGGAGGTGGGATTGGTGATGAAATTGGAGATCCGGACGGTGATGACTACGAAGTTTATCGCATTATTTTCGACATAACATTTTTCTTCTTTGTCATCATTATACTCCTGGCCATTATTCAAGGTTTGATTATTGACGCTTTTGGAGAGCTTCGTGATCAACTTGAGTCGGTGAAAGAAAATATGGAGTCCAATTGCTTTATATGCGGAATGGGCAAAGATTTCTTCGATATAGTACCTCACGGTTTTGACACACACGTGCAAAAAGAACACAATCTGGCAAACTACATGTTCTTCTTGATGCATCTCATCAACAAACCGGATACAGAATATACCGGACAAGAGACATATGTGTGGAATATGTACCAACAGCGCAGTTGGGACTTCTTCCCCGTAGGTGACTGCTTCCGTAAGCAGTATGAAGACGAGCTTTCAGGCGGAGGTGGTGGGGGTTAATTTTAACAAAAAAATTTTAATCAAAACGAACTCTAAATGTTTTTAAAAGTAAGGAGAGAAATTATACCCACAAATCTTGTATACATATTATATCAACTACTTTTGTGTAAATATTTAATTTTTTCTTTGTGAACGATGTTTTTAAGTTGCTTGTATCCTGAAAATTCCTAATAATATCTATAAAAAACCATTATTTTTGAATCAAGAATTTTTATTGTTGATAGCTCAAATGAACGCGTTAGTTAAATCGAAAACATAACCTTCCAGCGAAAATTTGTTGAGCTAATCCCAAACCAATGATATGCATAGTAATTATTGCATATAAGAAAGTCGTATTCAACAAAGAATTGGAAAGTGCTTTGGTGTACCAAGTACAATTTATTAAACATATATTTAGAAGAAAACGGTTTTAGGAAAGGATTAAAATAAGAAAGGATTTTCTGAACTAATGTAATCGATTTCATAATTATTTATGTGTAAATAAATAGCTTTTCTAAGTTTAATACAGTAATAATTTTAGTTCTGTTCTTCGAGGAAATAATTTGTACGAATTATCATGATTTAAAACGCGCTCGTGCCGACGAAATTTGAAAGCAATGAGAAATTAAAGCTGCCTTTACATGAGGNAAAACGGTTTTAGGAAAGGATTAAAATAAGAAAGGATTTTCTGAACTAATATAATCGATTTCATAATTATTTATGTGTAAATAAATAGCTTTTCTAAGTTTAATACAGTAATAATTTTAGTTCGGTTCTTCGAGGAGATAATTTGTACGAATTATCATGATTTAAAACGCGCTCGTGCCGACGAAATTTGAAAGCAATGAGAAATTAAAGCTGCCTTTACATGAGCCGATTTTTTTACATGAAGTTGCGAATTCTCATAAAGATTTTTACCAAGGAGAAGTTCGAAACTCGATTGTGGCACACGGTTGCACATTCGTAAACAATAATTTGATTGAAACAAATTCGTTAAACTTTTATTATACAATAACTTGCCCGATTTAACAATGAAAGAACTAAGTAAATATTGTTTTACTTAATTAATCTAGTCAATTCCATGAACAGGTAGTATTCGTAATCGAACTGCTTTCACAAGCATCGTCAATGTAACTACATACGACAAATAAATTGAAAAGTATGTTGTAGAACGTCATAATTAAAAGCAATATAGGTATTTATGTAAAGGTCCTGTTTGATCTTAAAGAATCAAAATAAATGATAAAACATTATTATGAAATGCAACCGTGTACACTTTCCGGCAGTGAATAGAATTAACCCTGTGGCACAACCACTTCCTGTGTGCCTGATCAGCTAACATTATTAATGCATCTGCATTAGATCTGTTGTTGACTTTCTCTTAAATCGGGTAAACATTTTTGAGTGGGATGTTAACTCTGCTATGAGGGGTGTAAAGAAGCGTTTTACCCAGAATGCTCCGACGCTTCTGTTTTCTATGCTGCGGTATACTCGCCGTGCCCAGGGTCCGCTACAATAAATTTGGGGCCTTTGCAAATAGTACTTTATTTAATTATCCTTATTCTCAAAAATGTGTAAATTCTTATTTTCTAAAAATACAATACGATTAACGGTGTACAAATTTCTACCGGTGCTATTCTATCGACGCTCTGCTGCGGTGCGACGTCGGCGCTACTATGCCGGCACTCTGCTACTGTGCTACGTTGGTGCTACTAGTCGACTCTCTGCTATGTTANGTAGAACGTCATAATTAAAAGCAATATAGGTATTTATGTAAAGGTCCTGTCCTATGCCGGCACTCTGCTACTGAGCTACGTTGGTGCTACTAGTCGACTCTCTGCTATGTTTTGAGCGGGCGTCGCCGTCACGCGGGTTCACGGTAGACTGTGGAGTGGCGGCCCTCTACCTTTGAACAGCCAAGCCTTGTATAGGAAACTATTTACAAGTCAAGAGCTATTCGCTAATAGCGGTGCGTTCACGACCACAGCTCCGCTACTGACACTTGCTGCTGGGCGAACGGGTGCCGCCGCCATGCGGGTTCACGGTAGACTGTGGAGTGGCAGCGCTCTACCTTTGAACAGCCAAGCCTTGCATAGGAAACTATTTACAAGTGAAAAGCTATTGCTTAGTGAAGAGCTTAGAGCGGTATGTTGCTGACTCACCTCTGTTATAGCTGTTGCTCTTCGTGTTGCTGAGTCGTATAGCTATATGCTGCGTCGCTATGGTGACGGTGTCACCAAGGATGTTGGTTGGCCATGTCGATGATGTTGCTGCAGTCGTTGTTGTTGGTGGTGTAGTCGTTATTGTCGCTATGGTGACGGTGTCACCAAGGATGTTGGTTGGCCATGTCGATGATGTTGCTGCAGTCGTTGTTGTTGGTGGTGTAGTCGTTATTGCTGGCGTAGGGGTACGCGCTCGTGTGCGCTAAATTCCGCGAATATTTATCCCCCACACTTCCCTCCCTCTTCGGCGGGCTTAATGCTTGGGATGTTTTGGCCATATACGTGCTCCTATTGGTATATGGTGGCTTGATAGTTCCCTATGCATAGCCTCCGGAAAACACCGGACCCTTTCAGCAATCTCTGGGAACTGGTGTAGTGCTGTCCCGCTGGCTTCGTCGGCGGGAATTATTATTTGTCCTCTCGATGGTGTTAATTGGCATGGTCTTGGGGACGGTGGTGATACAACTTCGGATGGTGCTGATGGTCGTGGGGGTGACGGTGGTTATGGGGTTACCTTGGTGGGTGCTAGTGGTCGTGGCGGTGATATCTCAGGGGTGTTGGTGGTCGAGGTGGTGGCGGTAGTAGTGTAGCTGTCTCCGGTGGTTGCTAAAGTACTCTCAGCGGAGGAACTCCCGCCACTTTCAGGAGTCGGCCACACAGATGTATAGGTTGTGGGTCACCTACTGATTGGCAAGGGCGGGCAGGAACCAATGTTTCGCGACGTTGTGTGACGCAAGGATAACCCGTTGGCCGAAGAGGTCGATGTGGCGTTTTTACCGGTGCATGCGCTAGTAGTTCTCTCCCCGGTCGGGTTGGCTTAACTACCACACCACGAATGGGCTGAGCATGGCGCCTCGTGCGTTGAGCGTGGCATCCAGGCCCCTCGCCCAGGCATCGATAATTGGGCCTGTCAGCTAGTAGGGTCCTGCCAGCGTCTGCAGGTCGGCTTCGTATAGTGCTATTCCGCCTGGTCCTAGCAGGAAGATTACTCGCGGGCCCGTTGTCGCCTGCTGAGGTGGTTCCTCGTCTGAGGATAACTCGACTTCTAGTGGTTCGGGCAATCCAATGTCGGTGTCTTGGTCGCCGGTAGCTTCATGTTAGTTTGTCGCTAGCTGGGCTATCGGCTGGTGAGCTGTCGTGCTGGTGTTCGATGAGCTGTCGCTTATTGTGCTGCCACTGGGCGAGCTACTGTCGGGCGTAGTTTGGTCCGTGTCAACTACGCTCTCGTGTGTAGTGTCGTGGCCTGCCACTACCCTCCCCACAGAGAACGTGGGTTCCCAGGCGGTGTTGTGTCCATTGTCTCCCGTTGGGCTGACGGTCGGGCGAGCGGCGAGTGTGCGCCGGGCGACTTCGTGGGCGGCGTGTGCTACCCTTGTGAAAGCTGCTGTGGCGTGCACGGCGGCCGTGCGCGCGGCGATGGCCCGCCGAGCAGTTGTTTGGGCTGCGGCGGCGCATGCTGCTGTAGCCTGTATGTTGTCGCCATCTTCGGCGTGGATGCCCGTCAGCATGCTGGGTGTGTGGATGTGGCCGCGTACCTTGCGACCGCCAGCGCAGGTCGTTTCCGCGTGGATGGCGATGGCGTGCATACTGGCTGTGGGTGCGGCGGCGGCCCGCTATTCTCCATTTTGCTTGTCTCTTTAAGATTCATTGATGAATGATTTTCCTTTTTACATATTTCTTTCGCTTTGCCCAGGTGTGGATGGTTCGCTGGTTGATGATCGAATGATTGCCTCCACTGACGCGACGGTCTTGCTAATTTTATTTTTTGTAGTTAAAATGGAATTTATTTAATATATTTTTTCTCTCCCTTTTTTTGTTTTACTATTTTGTAGCGGTTTCGGCCGTGTTGTATGCCTTCAGTTGAGCAATGTTCGCCGTTCTTGTCCTCCCATCGTCGGTTCTTCGTAGTTCCACTTTTACCGGTGATACGTATCTGGGTACCTGGTAGGGGCCGACATATTTTGGGGCTAATTTTGCCGCGAAACCCTGTGGACCAGCTCACCGATTTTTGGGTTCCACTACCGGCAACACAGGTTGTAATGACGCGCGGCACATTCCATGCTTTGTCTGACGATCCTGAACGCTACCTGCATCCTCGTGGATTTTGCTGCGGCCGTCGGAGCTATTTCGCCTGTTGCGTCAATTATTTCGTCGAAGAGTGCTCCCGGTAGTCGTCGTTCCCGTCCTTGCACCAGGAACGCTGGGCTGTATCCTGTGGAGGCTGTCACGCTCGTGTTCACGGCGGTCGTCCCATCGCTTACGTTGTATTTTCGTAAGTTGTGCGATAATCCGCCTTACCGTGTGGTTGGCGAGTTCCGTCGGGTTGTCTTGGCGGTGTATGGGGCCGCAAATTGTTGGCGTACCCCCACCTCCTGAAGGTAGCGCTGCCGGAGTGTGCCGGCAAATTGTACTCCATTGTCCGAAAACCTGGGTACACCGAATTGGACGAGGATGCGCTCCCTAAACGCGCGACGAAGTCTGTATCATAAGGACCAACTCGACCCACTTGCTAAATCGGTCGAAGAATGCCAGCAACATGGCGTTGCCACGCGTGGACCGTGGTAGGGGTCCAATGAATCGGCGCATAACTTGGCGAAAGGTTTCTGTGCAACCTGCGAGAACATCTTGCCGGCTGGTTTGTGTTGTCCCTCCTTATACTTCTGGCAGAACTCACATTGACGAACGTACCGGCTGATGCCGCGAAACATTCCTGACCAATAATACCAACTGGCAATACGCGCAACTGTTCGGCAAATACCCATGTGTCCAGAGCTTGGTATGTCATGGTTTTCTCGCAGTACTCTTTGGCGGAAGGGGTCGTTCTGGGGTCCTGTATCAGATATTCGGTGTATTTTGCCGCGTTGGTACGTACTTCGTCAACGCGTCTGTGCCACCACTTGCATCGGGGTTCCGCCACTGTAGCGTTTCTAGTGGTTGTCGTGACAATGCGTCCGCGACTAAGTTCCCTTCGCGGTACTCGATGAAGAACGCGTGTTGTTGCAGCTCAAGGGCCCATCGCGCTTTACGACCTGAGGGACTTTCGATGGAATTTAACCACTTAAGTGGCATGCAGTCGGTTATGACGTTGAATCGGTATCCTTCCAGATAGGGCCTCATTTTGCGTATTCCCCAGACTATGGCTAAGCACTCCTTTTCCGTGGCCGAATAATTGACTTCTGCCTTATTGAGCTTCCGACTGGCGTATGCAATTACCCGTTCACCGCCTTCCAACTCCTGCGTGAGTACCG